CTATTATGGGAACTAATAAATAACTTTTCTTTATTCACCCTCTCCACATCACTCATGATTTTATAGCCCTCCATCATATTCCCCCTTAGTCTCCTCTTTTCTAAACTGAAAAGTCCTAGTCGCTTTAACCTCTCTTCATATAGGCTCTAACAGCCTAAGTTTGGGCACCTATGAAAATGTTACCCCTGTTCTCTTGATTCGTGAGCATGTGTATGATGGAGTCAGAGCACACAGCACAGTCTAGGATGGCCTCCAGATGATTAAGGACTGCTGGTTCCCTAAAATGTCTCTCTTGCTGCAAAAAGGTGTCTGCAATGCATGACTTTGCTAGCATGTGTACCTGGTTGTCAAGATGCAAGGTGGTATATAGGAAATGATGCTCTGCACTGGTTAGAAAGTCCTAGGCAACATCTACACTGCAGGAATTTGTCAGCAGAAGCAATGCAAATGAAGTGCTCATTAGCATTTCTCACTCTCTCATTTGCATAGTCTCTGCCAATCTGTTTTGCGGAAGAGGTTTTTGCGCAAAAAACCACAGTGTATATGGGCCATTTTGCACAAGAACCCTTATTCCTCAAACAAGCAGGTATACAGGATCTTGGGTAAAAGGGGTTTTTGCCTCAACAACACTGCATTTTTTTGTGGAAAGACCTCTTCTACAAAACGGATCAGAAGAGTCTATGCAAATGAGAGTGCGAGAAATGCTAATGAGTGCTTCATTTGCATTGCCTCTGCCGACAGATTCCTGAAGCGTAGATGTAGCTCTAGAGTACAGGGTCTGTTGATGAGAAATTTTAACTTGGAAACTGCATACTCCATTAGTTAAACAAAGAAGAAATTGTTGCCCTGTAGAAATGCAAAAAACTACCAGCACAATGAAAATATTCCAGCCAACTTTCCATGTTGCTAAGTACGGGGTTTTTATCTTTTCAGATACTATACTAAGCTGTAATATCAGATGGGCAGTTTGCCTAGGTGCTATGTTGCCTATAGCACTCCCATGTTTGGCTATGGCGTTTCTGTGTTAACAAGGTAGATGTTCAGTTTCTATCCTTCCCAGGACTATGACTCATCACCTTAATATCTTACAGTTCTATAATATACCTATAACATTCATGGTGAATATCCTGATTACATTAGCTGATAATACTGGTGAATATGCTGATTTTGATCTCTCTGGTTCTTTTGTTTCCTTCAGGTGACACTTCAAAAGTATTTCAAGACAAAACTTTGTTCTATGAAACATGAGATGCCTCTTTGCTCTTTATGTAGTTTCTCTGCCTTGCTTCATATGATACACAGTGCGAAACAATGTGTCCTTGCTTCAATGGTACACTAAACATTGTAGCAGTTCCTAGCCCGCAATTGGTTGGGGCGGGGGGGACAAAAAGGGCAATTGCCCTTGGACCCAGCCATTCATTGTCCAGAGCCCTGAGCCCTTTTAATCACTGCTGGAGCGCTCTGGCGGTACTCCGGGCAGCTCTTAGGGATGCCTAATGAGGTGGGGATATTGTGCAGTGTGCTCCAGGCAGAGCTGGGAGGGCAGTGCAATCCAGCTAATGCTGAGGTCTGGCTGCCCTTGGCCCCACCCCTCCTGCCTGAGACCCCCCCCCCCCCCCCCCCCCGCATGCTGCTCAGAACCCCAGTGCAGCTCCCTTGAGCAATTCACCTTAGGTCGGGATGGGCAATAAGTTTTGATGGGGGGGGCACTTCAAGGATTTGGTAGATGGTCAAGGGTAATATCACTATTCCATGATATTAATGGTGTGGGGCTGGGATGGAGGTTGGATGCAGAAAGGAACTTGGGGTAAGGGAGTGGTTTGCAGGAGGAAATGTGGGATCTGGGAGAGCATTTGGGTGAAGGAGGGGCTTGTAATCTGGGGCCGGGGACCTGGGTACAGTGGGGGGAGGGGGTGCTGGAGGAAGGGGTGCAGATGGAGTGCAGGGTCTGAGGGGGGGTTGTGAGCTGGTGCAGGAGTTCAGGAGGAAGTGCTGGGATTTCAGTTGTGACCAGAGAAGAGGACCTGAGATAGGGTATTAGAGGGGGACAGAAGAGGGAGGAGCTGGAGAGCAGAGGCAGACTCTGGCCAGGAGGCACTTACCTGGGTGGCTCTCAGCCAGCAACCCAGCAGGTTTCGTAACCATAGCCCTGCACATGCTCAGAGCAATTACAGGGGCCATGTGTGCTACTCTGAACTTAACACTGCAAGCTTGGGGGAGGGGTACTTTATAGGGCACCTCTCTTGCAAACAGGCGGCTTCTATTGGCCAGAAACCAGGCAATGGGAGCTGTAAAGCTGTAAGATTTTGCTGGGAGTGGGGACAGTGTGAGAAGTCTCTCCCTCTCTGCTTAGGCTCACAGTGTTCACAGAAACATATGGCCCCACAGCCAACTTTTCTGAGCACTGAACAAGAATGAGGCAGGCAGGGAGCTTGATGGAGGCTCCCATGGGCTGGTCTCAGTCTGTAGGCCATATTTTGCCTAGCCCTGCCTTAGATCATGAAGTAAACTTCAGAACGGATGTGTAAAATGAGAGGAATTGTGGTGAATCCTGGTATAAAGACATGCAGCTGTCATTGAAATCAGTGAGCACATGAAGATGCAGCAGGCTAGATAGAGCTCAGGGAGTCTAAATGTACTCCTGAGGGTATTCTGTGCCCAAAATGCTGCACCAAAAAGTTAATTCCTTTGTGTATATATTTTTAAATTATGCATATTTTATTTGTCAAAATAATAAAGCATGATCATGCCAGTTCAAATTATTTTGGTAATTTATTCCAAAACACCTGATAGCAAGTAAGTCTATAACAATGCAGATAACAAAAAAGATTCAGGAAATGTTTTTTGCCTAAAATATTCCTTATTACGCATATTACTATGAGACTTTGAGTAATAATTCATTTTGGCTATGTGTAGACTGCAGCGCTTTTCCGGGATACCAGCTGTATCCCAGAAAAGCAATGCTGTGTCCAAGGAATGCCTCCACTTTAAAAAAAAAAAAATCAAAAAAGCAGACGTGCTCTTTCACCATCCCTATAAACCTTGTTCTACGAGGCATAAGGGATGTGTAGAAAGAGCAGGTTTTGCCAAAATCTGGCGCCCAGTTTTGGAAAAGCCTCTTTCAAAAGAACATCGGAAAAAGATACACAATTTGCACACTGTAAATTGTGTATCTTTTTCCAATTTAACGCTGCAGTCTAGACATAGCCATAGACTATAATACGGAAACGTATTTCCTGCACCCCTTAGAAGCAGTGCAAAGGCTGGGAGAGTCAGGGGTAATGGAGGATCTGTGGGAGTAAACCTGGAGGGTTGTTGGGTATGGGGCAGAGAAGCATAAAATAGGTTTCTTTGGGATGGGGGGAATTGTTACAGAGTGGAGAGCCTCCCTATATAGAGCCTGTCTGACCCGGCCTAGACTGGCCCATTTAGTCAGGCATATCTGCCCCATCCTTGTGTGTCCCTGAACTCTTACTCAGTCAAACATAGCTACCCTGTCCCCAAGTGGCTCTGCATCCCCACACCCATTCATCCCCAGATGCAATGTTGTCATCCCACTTTTTGGTGTGACCCCCTCCAGTACTCGTGTACACAGCAGCCCTCTCTTCTGGTGCCACATCAGCCCCTCGTGGGCACAAACTGTAACTGCAGCTTCCCTTTGGCTGTCAGAATCTATTTTGTAAGGGGGAAAAATCTGCAAAGGATATTAATTCAGTGCTTGTACTGTGGCACAGACTTGCCCCAGGAGTATGAAATGTAACATACCCATAACCAAGAGCCTCGGAGAGAAGATTGCAGTGAGAAAAGCAACTAATAGACAGATGTAAGAAAGTGTACAGCATATTAAATTAGGTCCCCAACTTCAACTTGCACCTTTGTCCAGGTCCTTTCTATATGTACATTACAATTCTTTAACTCAGTCTCCATCACACCTTCTGACAAGCAAAGTAACTTACAGCACCTTACATGTCACCTCTGTATTTGGACCACAGATTTTTGCACCAGGAGCATCTGCAGACCTCAAGGAAATGTTCTATTTCACCACAAATAATTCTACAAACAAAATTACACACTTGTATACTGTGATGGCATATAAACCTGAAATGCACAAACTTCTATCATTCAGAACTGTCCTGGACTATAACAAAGAAAGTGAACTCCAAGAAGTTCTTCACTTCACTAGACCACGAGTGATTGGTTAGATTAATCCTAGGTAAAGGCACATTACCTAGTGAATATTCCAAACAATATGTCAAGTACAGTATACACAATGCTATTTAACAATCCTACTAGTTAGCGCATACATAGTAGTTTTCAGCTTCTAAGCATGGTAGAAACATCAGCTAACTAATCCTTAAAAGGTGCTTCTGATAGCTGAGTATACATTCTTACCTCCATTGTAAATGTTGGGAAACTGAGGAAAAGGAAAAGATCAGATACGGAGGCAATATCAGAGCAAGGGTGAGACCTCATGAGCTATCAGTTACCAGCCTTGTGCTTAGAACAAGTATGTGACAGAATTCACAACCAAATATTCATATGCCAATATTCTTGATTTTGCTTATGGTGCATTTAAATGCTGGATATTACACTAAACTGTATAAAATTTTCAAATATGCTCAAGTGATTTAGGAGCCTAAATCATATTTTTAAAAGGACTTAGGCATACTGAAAGTCAATAGGACTTATGTTTCTATGTTCCTACGCCTCTTGTAAAATAGGATAGAGGCTTCTAAGCCCCTTAGGAGCTTCTGAAAATTTTAACTACTGTGTGATTAGCCCATTAGCTCAAAATATAGACATATTTCCTTGACACTTATCATAAGGCTAATAACAGTGCACTGCAGTTTTGAAAGAGCACGACTATTTGATATTATTAGACTGTTTCTATACATGTTAAAAGCCCCAGAAAATGAAAGCATTTCATAATGAAATCCTTGTACTCAATACATAATTCAACCTTCTCTGAGATCATTTACGCAGGGGGAAACAAATCTTACCCAGCAGGCCTTGTGTCATCAATGGCTCGGTCTACAGGAATCAAATCACTCAGATAGACATTGAAGTTTCCTTCCTTCCATCTGCTTTTTGCCTCTTCTTGCTTATCATCAGGAACTGCAGCTGGGTGGCCAAACTGACCCGGAGCTTTGGGATCTCTTGGGGAAAGTGTTGCATCAAGTGTTAAGACTTTATGCATTCCAGTGTTCCTTGTAAAATGGACTGTATAGGTGCTTTGATTTATTTTCCTTAATTGCTCCTTAGCAGCTAACCTGACACTGTGAACTTTTGTTAGCTCTGGACCTTCAGTCAAAATTACTTTCTTAGTTAAACCATTAAGACTGGCAGTCTTGGTTACAGAGTTCACCTTAAGGGCATCCTCACTTTTGTTGCTAATGAATTGCTGTTCTTTGCTCCTTTCCAATCTCATTGTAAAATTTCCTTTGGAATCAGCTACAAGATTTTGGGTTGCTGGGATGTTGATTTTTATCCCCTTTTTACTAATAATGACAAACTGATTTTCAGGGAAAATTAATTTCTTTTCATGAGCAGCTTTTGTTTCATCTTCCTTTGGCAGCTTTCCCAGTCCTGTTGTATTTGTAGGCAATCCTGTTTTCTCCACTCTGGTCACAGCAGCCAGCTTGCTGCCAGGTATGTCCAAACTCTTGCTTGCTTTGTGTTCAATGCCATCTATTGCTTTCCCCACAGTACTTTTTTGCTTTACAGGGTTGATTTGCCCAGGAATTGGCAAATCTGGTACTGGGGGGTTCTTCTGAGGTTCCTTGGGGTTTCCCTTTGTTTGCAATTTCTGTTTTAATCCAGCCAAGGGGATTTTATCTGTAATCCCAATTTTTAAATTGCCCTCAATTCCCTTTGATGCTTTAGTCACAGGGTTGCTCCCTTTCTGTGCAACTTTGTTTTGTATAGTAGCTGTGCTGTGTGTTAATTTGACAACTGATCTCCCTGGTGCTGCAACTAATGGGGTCTGCTGAAGCCCCTTGGGAACAGTTTGCTTTGTTCTCAGCAGGTCTGTTGAGTTTACAGTCTTTACATTCTTTTTTCTCTCTTTCTTTTCCATGGGAACAGAGGGCTGGTGGCTCAGCAGTTTCACTGAAAATGTCCCAAGTGGCACAATCATTTTCTTATAGGCTGTTTTGGAGGCTGTGCTTTTCTTTTCTGTTGGTTTTAGTGTTATCTTTTCATTCTGTTGTTTGTCTATTTCATTTTCAACCTCTACCACTTTCTCTTCTATATTTTTATATTTCTTATTTCCAAATCTCCCCTTTTCAAAGCCTCTTAGGGGAAGTTTTGGTTCCCTTCTAGAGCTTTCAGGGCTCTTCTCTAGGTTTTGCCAAACTTTGAACCTTTCCCGTTCCCTCCTGATCATCTCATCTTTCAAAACCTTGGTGTTGATCTCGCTGAATGAAAGCTTGAGAGCTGCCATGTCAAAGATCAACCAAATGACAGAGGCAACAAATATAAACGCGAGAGCTCTTCCACTACCTCGGAAAAGCTTCCGGATCTTGTTCATCTTTAAAAGTTTGTTTGTCTTCTTTATTGTGCTTGCCCCCGGCCCTCTTACCTTAGTGAGAGCCGGCAGTGTGTACAGTCCCTTCTCCCTGGAACACGTCTGACTAGTGATCCAGGGGAAACCTCAGATCCTGCTGCCTGTCAGTCTTTGCCTGCGTGGCATTTTACAGCAGGGCATCTGCGTTTCCTCAGCTTTTCATGATTAATCCAGCAGCGTTTCATTTCATCTACAGTAAACACAGACGCTAGGTCACTGAAGAAACAATAAGTACAAGTTCCACGTTATATTCCCATTGCTTTTCTTGTTTAACTGTTATACATGTTGTCCTAAGAGAAGGGAAAGGTTGCAGATCAGACGTTTTTTCTCTCCACCCAGCTCTCATTCCTCCTGCTGTAACTCAACACCTCCTCACACATAAGGAAACTACTTCAGTCCATTACCCAGAAAACTTTTTCTGCAGCTCTTGCCTTCCAAGTTCTTCTGTTTATTAACCATTTAAATAGAAACCTATTCAGAGGCAAAGCCTTAGTTTCTGTTTCGTAACAATTTCTTTTATTGAGAGTTAACCCTTCATTAACTCTTCTTCTCTAAGATACTTTTAATATGGCACTGGGTCACCTTAAATAATAAATAAAAAGGGCGAATTTTATCTCAAGTGTAACTCTATATCAGTGGATAAACTCGGTCTTTGATTTAGATAATGTAGCAAAAATTTAGCATCTGCCACAGTCTATCTTAATTAGGAATAGATTAAAAAACAGATAATAATTAGAAGTATAATTGCAGTGTTTTAGTAAGTATTTGTATTTCTCCTGGTACACAGCAGATGGCAGATCTACTTGAAGTTGATTAGCTTAAAACTTGGAAACTTATTTGAGTTGTGTGGGGGTGTTGCAAGCTTCAGGGTGAAAAGAGCATCTTTATATAAGATCCAAATAAGTGAAGGGCAAAAATAATGGAAATGCACTTTAAGTAGAATTAGCCAATTTTCTCCTGTCCCTGCATAAAAATGCAGACAGGGGAAACAAAGACAAAAGCGCTACAACTTTCATATCTCTGAAAACTCATCACATTCTTCTCTTGGGAGTCAGTGTATGTGTATGGGAAGCTAGTGATCACTTGCAGTAACTGGGCATGGGGTCCCACTAACTTCAGACTTGTCAATGATCCATAGGTTTCAGGACATATATGCATTGTGCCTTCTTTTCCATGCCCTGTCCAATGCCATCACTGGACAGCAGCATAGCTCAAACCAAAGCCGGGCTCCCACTAGTTTCCACCCTAGGACTGTTCTATTTCAGGCCCAGTAGCCACAGCAGGCGTGAGGGGAAGTCAGAGGTGTAGTGCTGTGGTTTACACCAGCGTTAACTTCCCATTGTGACTTGCATAAATGTTAGTGAATTCAGTGCCAGGTTCCCAAAGAAGCTGCTGGGTACATCAGCTCACCTTGCAGACTTTCCTATAGTATTCCAGGAACCCTCCACTTCACAGCATTGATCATTAATGCCTGTATAGCACCAAAGATGTACATTGCACTTTACAGTGTAAAAGATGGATTCACTGCCCCAAAGAGCCTAGGATCAAAGACTTGGTTCAGGACAGCATCCCTGTAGGGGTATGTCTACACAGAAAAGTTATTTCGAAATAACAGACATTATTTCGAAATAACTTTACCAGCATCTACAAAGCCAAACCGCTATTTCGAAATTAATTCAAAATAGCAGAGTTCTTATTTCGAATTTGGTAAACCTCATTCCAGAAGGAATAATGCCAAATTTGAAATAGCTAACATAATTTATAACCCGCGGGTTATATTCGTTTTTACAAACCCCGCAGCTCCCCGCAAGGTATACTCGGGTGCAGGGTATACAGAATTTTTTTTACTCACCAGGTGGTGAGCTCTCTGTTGCCTCTTCCTGTGGCTGCACAGCCGCCAGCCTCCAGCCTCCGGGAGGGGGAGTGCCCATCCCCCTGCCCCTTCCTGCAGCTGCTCAGAAACCGGGTGGTGAGCGTTCCCCCTCCTGGAAGCTGGTGGTTCCTGCTCCCCCGCCCCCTGGGTATACAGAATTTTTTTTACTCACCAGGTGGTGAGCTCTCTGTTGCCTCTTCCTGTGGCTGCACTGGAACCTGGGGCAGTGAGTGGCTAATCCCCCTCCCCCCCCCGCACCATAAATATACCCCCAGCAAATATACCCCCGGCACAGAAAAGTCTTGTATACCCTGCAGGTTATATTTGTGCGCAGGGTATACAAGATTTTTTTTACTCAAATAGAAAAAACTGTGGGTTATATTCGAGTGCAGGGTATATTTGCTAAATTACGGTAAATGGAAATAAGCGCTGTGTAGATGCTTATTTCGAAATAGGGGGCCTCCAGCCCTTTCCAGGGTGCCCTGGTGGCCACTCTGAGCACAACCAAAAAAACCCCTCTCCCTTCCCCTCCTCCCCAGAATCCTTAAAGGGGTAGACTCTGGCCACAGTGGCTGTGCCAGCTCCAAGCCTGCCAGCCCAGAGCCAGCAGTGGCCAACAGGGCCCCTGCCCCAGCGAGCCAGCCAGACAGTGCCATCCAGCCTTCCATGGCTCCCCAGGACCAGCCTCCCAGCTCCCAGGAGCCTGCCAGAAGCCGGAAAAGGCGGGCGCCTGCCTGGTGCAGTGCAGAGATCAGGGACCTAATTCAGGTTTGGGGGGATGCCTCCAATGTCCATGATCTCCACACTAAACAGAGGAACACAACCGTCTACAGGCAGATGGCTGCCAGCCTGGCCACCAAAGGCCACATGTGAACTCAGGAGCAGGTTCGCATGAAAATCAAGGAGCTGCGGCATGCGTATGCCAGGGCCACAGGGGGCAGCTCCCAACCAGGGGCAGACCCAGACCCCTGCCACTATTTTGATGCCATGGACTGCATGCTGGGGAGCAGGACGGTTTGTGCCCCCAGGTGGTCACTGCCTCCCCAGCTACCTCTCCTCCTCCTACTCCTTCGCCCCATCCTGCTTCTTCCTCCCCACCCTCCCCACCCCCTCACTGATGCTGAAGTCCCTGCACCTGCAGTGCAGGGAGACAGTTGTGCTGGGCCACAGGGGGCAGCTCCCAACCAGGGGCAGACCCAGACCCCTGCCACTATTTTGATGCCATGGACTGCATGCTGGGGAGCAGGACGGTTTGTGCCCCCAGGTGGTCACTGCCTCCCCAGCTACCTCTCCTCCTCCTACTCCTTCGCTATTTTGATGCCATGGACTGCATGCTGGGGAGCAGGACGGTTTGTGCCCCCAGGTGGTCACTGCCTCCCCAGCTACCTCTCCTCCTCCTACTCCTTCGCCCCATCCTGCTTCTTCCTCCCCACCCTCCCCACCCCCTCACTGATGCTGAAGTCCCTGCACCTGCAGTGCAGGGAGACAGTTGTGCTGGCGAGACCCCTAACCCTGAGCTTCTCCTCCCCTTGCCTTTCCCTGCCAGCTCCCTCCTCTTAGGTTTCCCCCGTCCCTTCTCCCACCCTCTCTCCTTCCCTCTCCCACCTTCTTTCACCAGTCTCACCTCAGTTTCATTCCCCCTCCCACCCCAGTTTTTTTCAATAAAGAGGCTTTGTTGTAATGAACACGTGTCTTTTATTGTACAGCAGGAAGGGGGGTTAGGGATGGGTAAGTGGAAGGACATGAGCCATAATCCCCCAGTGGGGCACACCAAGAAGACTGTTACTGCCTGCAGAACATACTGCCAGGCTCACAACAACACATCCAGGAGAATACCAGAGTGCCCAGGGGTGGCTCCAGCTCCGGCTCTATGCTGCAGAGTCCTGCGGTATCCTGAGTGAGGGCAACCAGAGCACGCAGAGAAAAAAATGCTTTGGTGTCACTCAGCGAGGTAGGCAAGCAAGCAGGGAAACCTTAGAACCGAGTGTACGGGGGGTGGGAGAGTCCCTTGTGTATCTCAGATACCTTGTGTGGCCGCTGCCTGAGGCTAACTCCTGAACTGATGCCCTGCCAGAACTGGCCATAAATGTGATTCAGTGTCCTATCAGTGTGGACATGCTATTTTTAAATAGCAAAACGCTATTTTGAAATGCATTTCTTGTCTAGACGCATTATTTCCAAATAAGCTATTTCAAAATAACTATTTTGAAATAAGATATTTTGAAATAACGCTGTAGTGTAGATATATCCTAGGTGAGGAAGAACATTGTTGCACATGCTGAATCAGGACCTAAAGGCAAGCAAGCAGGGAAACCTTAGAACCGAGTGTACGGGGGGTGGGAGAGTCCCTTGTGTATCTCAGATACCTTGTGTGGCCGCTGCCTGAGGCTAACTCCTGAACTGATGCCCTGCCAGAACTGGCCATAAATGTGATTCAGTGTCCTATCAGTGTGGACATGCTATTTTTAAATAGCAAAACGCTATTTTGAAATGCATTTCTTGTCTAGACGCATTATTTCCAAATAAGCTATTTCAAAATAACTATTTTGAAATAAGATATTTTGAAATAACGCTGTAGTGTAGATATATCCTAGGTGAGGAAGAACATTGTTGCACATGCTGAATCAGGACCTAAATTAAAAAGAGAATAAAGGAACAAATGACAACACAGAGGGGGCAACAGTTCATTGTTGCTATATTTGGCCAAGTTTCACATATTTAGCATGCAGATGCTCCTCTTTGTAGCATATAATAGAGGAGAGCATTTGGCTATTTGTTCCCATTTTACAATTTCAACATCAGTTACAGGCAGGCAGCCGCACTGAAACCAATGGGACTTAATAAAGTGGACTGAGAGCAGAATTTGTCCTTTGCAGTTCTGTGCCATGACAGTATAGATAGGGGGCTGTGATCTGGTATGTTATATTTCTGTGAGGAAAAGCCAAAGGAAGTAGAGGAGCATTTAATTTCTCTAACTGTGGACATGGGAACACATGGTTTAAAAATGGGTTTTATTTATTTTTGCATAAACAAGGAACCCTAAATAATGCAAAATACATTGTCCATTTGTTTCTCTAGATATTGTAAGTAGCTGTTGTGGGAGGATTGCAGAATTGCCTTGGGGTTAATGGCAGGTTTGCTTTGGGGGGAATGCTATATATATTTATTGTATTTCAATCATGGTAACCCTACTAATGACTCTAATCAATCAAGCTTAATTACAGGAGGCCTGACTCCCAGAAAACTCTGAAAACTGACTTTTGCCAAGTGTAAGCAAGAGTGTCCCAAGGCCGGCTGCAGCAGCTGGAGCCCTAGGTGGAAGGTGCGATCGGCGCCCCTGCCTGCACGGCCATCAATGGCCGTGACGTAATCATTGGGCACCCGGGCTGGTAGCGCCCTAAGCAACTGCCTAGGTTCACGGGCCGCCCCTGAGTGCAAGCACATGTACCAACAATCTGATAGAAGGGAGA